GGAGAACAGGGGGGCCGACCTCATGGCGAGGGGCGGCCCCCTGCCAGGCGAATGGACGCTTCACACGGAGGTGGTGAAGCAGATCTGGGCCCAGTTCGGGAGAGCGGAAGTGGACCTGTTCGCCAGCCGGCACAACAGCAACTGTGCCCTGTGGTTCTCCATGGCCCTGAGCGACGACCCGCCTTTGGGGGTTGACGCGTTTGCACACGAGCCATGGCCAAGGAAGCTGATATACGCCTTTCCACCGCTGCGTCTCATTCTCCCTCTCCTGGGGAGAGTGAGGCGAGAACGTCTGGCAGTCATTCTGGTGGCACCGGATCGCGTCGGGGCTCCGTGGTACTCAGAAATGACACAGATGAAGGTGGGCCAGCCCTGGGCGATCCCCCAGTTCTGGGGGGCGATGTCTCAAGAGGCAGGTGCAATCGGGGCGTTACCCACTCTGGGCCGTCCTCTTCAGGCTTGGCTCCTGAGAGGGACAGGCTGAGACAGGGTGGATTGTCTGACAGCGTTATTCAGTCTATCCAGGCAGCTAGAGCAGAATCCACCACAGCCTGTTACAGGCCAAAGTGGCTGAGATTCCAGCATTGGTGTGAGTAGCAGGGAATAGAGCCCCTATCTTGTGAGTTGGGCTCTATTTTATCCTTCTTACAGTTACTGGTGGACAGAGGGCTTGCTCATTCCACAGTGAAAGTGTATGCAGCAGCCATCTCGTCCTGTCATGAGGGATTCAACGGCAGGTCAGCCTTCTCTCATCCACTGATGTTGCGGTTGTTACAGGGGGTCAGGAGGCTGCGCCCTGTAGTGCACGCCTCCGCCCCACAGTGGGACCTGCCGCTGGTGCTCGAGGCTCTGGTCACAGAGCCTTTTGAGCCTCTTGAGCTCTCCTCCCTGAAAGCACTGTCGTGGAAGACAGCGTTGCTACTTGCCTTAACGTCAGCCAAAAGAGTGTCCGTGTTAACCGCTCTGTCGGTGCACCCGAGCTGTTTACTGATTCGGGGTGACCAGAGTGGGGCGACACTCAGACCAGAGGTCGCGTTAACCGAATATTTTCCGTCTATGACGTAATTTTTCCAAGAATGACGGAAATATCTGAAAGCAGTCCGTCATTTTGACAGATTAGAACACAACTCGGAACAGCGCCAAAATGTCCACCAGCGGCCCACATTATATTACATCCTTATGGCCAGGTCGACTGAGGGCGATCTACTGTACTCTACTTTAACTATTATTTAGTAATTCACACCCCTGTCCAGTTGGTGGCGAGTGTGTGCATATTAAGTAGCTATTGTCTAGTCTTGTATTTGACCTCGTTGATTTCCTCGTTGTTTAACCGGCTTTAGCAATCGCAAAATGTCACGGCAGCTGAGTGTCCGAAGCTTTTTTAATAAGCCCAGTAATTGTGATGGTGTGGATAAACGAGGTGAAAGAAGAGGGATTGATGCAGTGGAGGATGAAGGACAAGCCAGTAAGACTAACACTGACAACGTTCAGCCAGCAGCAGAGGGACAAGCAAGTGGCAAGGAAAAAATAAATCATTCATATTCGTTTCGACATGAAAAGTGACCGCACGGTCGGTGTCTCTGTTCATCTTTTTTTTTCTCCATGCCCTTAAAAGTTCTGTATGAATCATAAAAAAAAGGAATGAATGAACATTTGCTGCTTAGTACCCAAACATAAATATTAAATATGTCTCATCATTAAAACATGAAAAATAAAATGACGGGTAATAATGGATTATGACGGAAATGTTACGATCCTGTCCGTCAAAATGACAGACAACGAAAAAGTCTAACGCAACCACTGACTCAGACCGAACCCCTCCTTTGTGCCCAAAAGCCTAAGGAGTGCGTTCAGGTCGAGGGCTATTCAGTTGGGGGGTTTTAGTCTTCCACCCCATGGTGGGGCCAGGGAAGCTAAATTACACCTCCTCTGCCCGGTGCGCGCGTTAGCATATTATGTAGAGCGCACAGCTACCCTGAGACGCACTGAACAGCTGTTTGTGTGCTTCGGGGGCGGGGTGACTGGAAAAGCTCTGTCCAAGAAACGCCTGGCAGGCTGGTTTTGCGAAGCCATTGCACACGCCTACAAGCAGGCAGGGAGAGCCTGTCCCATGGGGGTCCGTGCGCACTCCACACGAGCTGTGGCTGCATCAACAGCCTTATTCAGCGGTGTGAGTGTGGAGGATATATGCACGGCGGCGTCTTGGTCAACACCAGGCCCCTTCATAAAGTTTTATCTCTTGGATATGTCTGGCTCTTTCTCAACGTCTGTGCTTGCTGGGGCAACACAGGACTGGTGAGGAGGGAGGGGGCTGTGGGTCAGTGGGCATCTGACCCCCTCCCCGGGCGTAAATGCGCTTACATTTCTTCGGACCCCTGGAGGGTCGCAGGGTGATGTAATGCGCTCTGGGCCCTTACAGGGCTGAAGGGCTCCCCTCGCCTGCCTGGAGGCAGGAGGGGGAAAGCCCTCCATACTATAGTCCCTACACACTCTGCACAGGGTCAGTGGCTGAGTGGGGGGACATAGGGGGCACTTGCGTTCTCCCCGTGCTCTTTAGGGACTCAGGAGGGAGAGTGCATAGTGAACCCATACAGGGCTGCAGACTTTCCCTGTCTGCCTATGGGCAGACGCACGGGAGTCCTCAGCACTATTTTTGAGCACACTTTTTTGCGAGGCAAGCGCGTCAGGGTGTGCTCTATCGGCCGCAGCCCGGACTTCTCCACGGTTACAACCGAGGGAGAGGTGAGTGAGGCGCAGTGGCTGCTAAAGCCGGTCAGGGACAGTGAGGTGGAACGGTGTGATGGACGACAGTGCGTGCATACATCGGGGCTCCGCCCACTGTACCCATAGAGTCCAGTAGAGGGCGGAGCCTGTGAGAGATATAACGTCGGGTTACGTATTGTAACCCTTGTTATATAAACACAGGCGGAGCCCTCTACCTTGGGGGCACTGTCTGTCCTATACCGCTCGCTGAAGAGTGGTGTAGGATGGTGGTCAGGAGGCGAGGCCTCCTTTTATAGGGAAGTGAGATGCGCACGCATTCAGGTAGGCCCGCCCCGGGGCCGGCTACGTCTATAGAAATCTCAGTAGGTGAATGCTTGCATGATAAGGTAGTACCCATAGAGTCCAGTAGAGGGCTCTGCCTGTGTTTATATAACAAGGGTTACAATACGTAACCCAACGTTACAGGTGGAGGACTTACTGGACATGTATACACTCATTACATACTGTACGTAAAATACGACCAAGAATGTGAGACAACTTTATACAAATTCATATCACATCCATTAGGACGTTAGGACTGTAATTTCCCGTGTTCAGTGAATGCAACAGAGGCATGACACCAGACCAATCAGAGAGTTGCATGCATGAAAATAAACGTGTGCTTGTGTCATTCAAGCGGCTCTGTGTGTGTGTGGCAATAGCGCATATACTGTAGAGAGAGAGGAGAGAGAGAGGGAGAGAGGGAGAGAGAGGGAGAGAGAGGGAGAGAGAGGGACCTGGAGCTGGAGCTGGAAAAGCACAGTTTTTTCCTGTTCACACCGCAGCGGCGGCGCGTCATAGCTCCGGAATGCGGTTCACTTCCAGCTCCAAAAAATTGTCGGTCCAGAGGCAAGAGCTTCGGAGCTATGACGCGGCGTCTCTTACGTCGAGGCGTGCAGGAAACCTTACTTTGACTATCCGTTCGCTGTTATTGATCATTGTGGAGAGCAGGCAGACGTTTTGTTTGTTATTATAGCAGCTATCGGATGGAATTAATACATGGGCTGTACAGGTTGTCATGTCCGACTATCACAAGTAGAATCATAATGAAAAATACGCCGGTAAAATGTGCCTGTAGAAAACGGCTTAGCAAGTAGTCAGTTTAGCTTCAGTTGCTATGCTAACATCACCCATGTTATACCAGAGAAACTTTCATAACAGCGTTGTGATGCCAAACAGCGTCAATTCAGACTGACACACATTCACTTAAGGGGAACTGGGGATATGTATCAGCTGCTTGTGTGACAGTCAGACAGTGAATACTTTAGAGCCGTGTGAGCTAACCCGGAGCTAACGGGAGAATAAACTCCCGTCGAAGAGCAGCCAGCACTGCAGCGGTCGGTAAATGCCGCTGAAACACATTAATAAACAATGAACCACGGCACTCTGGAGAAAAGTATAAGGTTGGAGAAGTCGTTATTTAATTTAATCTGGCTTCGTATGATTAAAAGCAACACGATCATCGACCCGACGCAGTCCCCGGCCCGTTGTTGTTGTGGGAGAAAATCAGCGACGTAAACTGTGACGTCATGACGCAGCAGCGGCAGCTCTGGGCGGTGTGAACAGAGCGGGAGCTGAAAAGGGAAACCGGAGCTGAACCAGAAAAGCTCTCGCTAGGAGCTAGAAAGGGAAAAGCGCTGGTGTGAAAGCCGCATCTGAGTGTTTAGATAGTTAACTTTAGTCTAAGCTATCTCAGTGGGTCTCAAACGGTTTGGTCACAAATAATTCAAAAGATTATTTCCGCGGCACACGTTTATATGATCATTATAGTTATAAAAGAAATAAGAGAATAAAGGAAAAACAGTTATGAAATAGTATATGGCAGTAAACCAAGAATAGAGTTTAAAAGGGTGATTTGTAAAATATCCATAAAGAAAAAGTAAATCTGCTTACAGTTCTGTTTCATATGGGTGTTGAGAGAGGTATCCATAGATCTCTTAATGTTGCTCTCAAAGTGCACCAGATTGATGCTTTTAACTTCAATATTTAAAAAAAAATCTTCCCGCGGGAGCATCCCCCCGGACCCCCCTAGAGGAGGTTAGGTCCACCCCCCACTCAAAAAATAGCACTTTACCCCTGCCTATATGCGGTGAGATGATTATCGAGCCTTCATTGTAACAGTCGCGGGTGTACTGTGTGGGGAGTGTTGCAGTAAAAAATTCCACTGTAGCGCCGCGGCCGCCGCCACTGTGGGCTAAGCCCCGAATGTTTTCAGGTCCAGGCGACGCCCCTGTTGATCAACATTCTTCCTTTTCCAATGAGCAATTATCCATCAACCATTTCCTGGTTACACATTGAACATGTCAAGTTAATTTGTTTCTATTTGTTTATTTACATTTTCAAAATGTGGGGGGCTCTGTTTGGAAATGGACATTTATTTTTGTTTAATTGATTCACATTTTATTAATTAATTATTATTTATTAAAAATAAATGAATTATTATTGTTAATATTAATCTGGTTTGTTTTGCCTTTTTTCCAGTGAGGCTACTTACCCCTGGTAAAATCTTGATAAACATTCCTTTCTTTGTCATTTTATGTTTATGCATGTTACTAACTCATTATCCCAGGGGCATCAAGTTTTGTGTCTCACCTGGGGCTGCACCTGTTGCTGTTGTACTGCCTGAAGCCTACCTCATTTTATTTTGGCGACACCGGGAAGATTGTTGACATCTTCATTTATAACAAAATTGTATATGTAGCCTACCTTCAGAATTCATCCTATGTGTTCTGGTACTTTTTGTAGTTACTCATAGCCGAGCTATCCATACCAAGAGACACAACGGAGTTATTAAAAAAGTTGAGATTTCAGACCCTTTTCATACATAATCCTGCCAGCCACTAGCAGAGGATGGAGGTGGTACTGTCAAAGCATCCAATCATATGTAAATGTCCCCCAAATTTAATTTGTTGTTGACGAAAGTGCTAAGTGCTAAACCGGAAGAACTAACATGTATGCGTTTAAATCGGAAGTCTTTATAAAGTGAATACACAAGCACCCCGTTTGGCAGTTAAATACAGGTAGTATGTCTGGACAGACATCCAGGAAGAACAGGAGAGAATCTATCGGTATGTCAGATCAGAAGGCCGTGCCACTTTGCTATTGGCTGCCGTACTGAGCACATCATTACGCTCCAGTGTTTGTCTTCTGAACTCTTCTCCTTCCCGACCGTCAACTGTCCAATTAGATGTTTTGGGGATTTCTTGGCCGTGCGCATTTCATACACAGACACCACTATTTTACACTGCTCCAGAGGAAACTCTGGTAGGGAGAACATGGCGACCTCATTGAAGACAGTCACCAGGCAGCGAGCCACTGCAGAGGTTTTCATGTACCGCAACTTGCTCTGGTTGCACTGCACACTGATCCTAGCGCACAGGGCTACAAAAAACAGAAAAGGAAAATCCCTGACTGTATGTTATACTGCTGCATTTTCATAGCTTTATTTTTCTTAGATGTGTTAGCTATTTACCTGCATCAGATATCTCAGAGTGGGCTGTTCTGACCTTTAGCAATCCAACCTCCAGCCTTTGAGAAGTGGGTAGAATCTTTAACGACAGAAGAACCTTTCCTACAAGATCCTATTCAGAAGGTGGGAGGATAAACACAAAGCAAAAAATTTTTTTTACAACAAATAACAGCATTGAAATATTAAATAATAGACAAAACATTAAAAGACGTATTTGTATAATTAAAAAAATTAATTTAACACAGATTTAAAAAAAATAAAATGAAATGCTAGATGTTCAAGTGAGTTACATTAACAGGAAAAGAAACAGGAAAAACTCAACTGAAAATCATTCTGTAAGTATACTGTAGGTATGAGGAGGACTTTATCCCTCTTTAACCCTGCAAATGCCAGGAGCATATTCAGTGTCTCACCTTGTGTAATTTATGTCCCTTTAACTGTTTAATATGTAATATCTTGTTCTGAATGTTCAAGACTTTTGAATTTCAAAATAATTCACCTTGACCGAAAGATTAGGGAAAAAAAGTTCTTATTTGATTGCTATGTGTGTCTTTGTACACATGAGCCGCGTTCACACCAAGTACTTTCCTGTACTTAGTTCCGGCACTAAGAGCCCCGGCGCTTTTAACCCCAGGGCACTTAGTACAGATCGCGTTCACACCGGAGTACTTTTCCCTGAGGGAAGATTACGCAAATGAGCCGCTGACGTCACTTCTTCTTCTTCTGCTTTGGCTTTACTGGCAGGCCACAAACCACTTCACGGCGAGTACAGTAGGTGGCGGTATGCACCTTAAAGTTGTTTGCAATCCGCTGCAAAATAAGAGAAGAAGAAGAAAAACTTCCCGCGTATACTGCGACGCCCACCCACTCGCTGTACATTAGGCGTCTGTTGTTTACCTTACCAAGAAACTGTGCCAGGTGTGTTGTATGCACAGTAAATAGGCTCAGCAGCAAACATAGTGGACTCCATTTTGTGTTGTGTAAAATGGGGGGGGGGAATTAAAGATTTGCAAATCCCCATGTCCTCCTCAGAGGACAATCATAAAAACATTTAGTTTTAGGTCAAATAATATTTAAAATTATATAAATTATCATATTTGTGTATGTGCCCCTGCCATTCCTCCACAAGGTTGCAACATTGATGATAAATAAATGACAAATAAAGCTTTGCCAGTTTATAACCGATGAAACATGATGGTATCAGAATAATCACTTACATGTGATGTATAGGATGCTACGGTCACTAAAGATAAAGTGTCAGGAGAAATAAGCAAGCTACAGGATCTGTTTAACAGTAAATAGAAGTTCACATTTTTAATGTAAATAAAATAGAAGTTGTACATGTAAATTAACATTATCAATATAAAATAAAGTGTCAGTTGTATCAAGACTATATAATAACAGTAATAACAATAATATAAAATGAACTGGTGAGCATCTTGTCCTCCGTTTCCTGGGCCTTGGTGAACAGCACCATCTGATCCCCGTGCATCGACTCTTTCACCACGGCACGCCGGTCCTCCAACGCCTGGACGGTGTCAAAGAAATTCGCATCCCGTGTCCGCTTTCCTAAGAGGGAAAAATAAGCAAGATACAAGATCTGTTTAGTCGCCATGTAGTTTTACAACATACTAGGAGTGTGTTTTTTGTATTTTCACAAATAGAATTAAGGTTTCACAAATCTGAAACTGTGTTATAAAGAATCTTTTGACTCTCTGGGATAATCCAGTCCAGATTTGATGAGTCTAGGTATAGTGGTTTTAGATCAGGACCTGGTCTAATGTGGCCAGGATGTTTAAAAGCACTGAAATCTCTCTTTTTTGTATTTTCACAAATAGAATTAAGGTTTCACAAATCTGAAACTGTGTTCTAAAGAATGTTTAGCCTCTCTGGGATAATCCAGTCCAAATAAATCGGCTATGCAGCGATTTAAGAGGTTCAAACACGGAGGATTGTGCTTCATGTATGCTTGAACTTTGTTTAATGTTGTTGAGGCAAGTTTTCGTACCGGAAGTCATGTGACCTCTAGCCCGGATGTTTACAATGTTTGTGAGAGAGTAAAAAGCGAATACGTTTTCACGCTGTTTCATAATTGTACCAAGAAGGAAATAAACATGATTGTGAACATCAGTTCGATGCGTAACGTTCTTTCAAGACAAAGTTACAGTGTGTGTACCTTTGCGTTTGGTTGCTGGTAAGGGGGACGAGCTAGCGCTGTGATCTAGAATGCAAAGCTCGCTTGTTTCCAATCCCGAGAGTTGTCCATCCTCGCCTGAAACAGACGATTAGTGCCATGAGTTAGTGAAGCAAATTACAGAAACACTACACAGTTATTCACAAGTCAAAACGTTTATAGCGGCCGAGAATATCTAGCTAGCTAGATGTAGCTAGCTCGAGGCCGGTGTTAGCCTATTCAGCCTAGCATGGCTAGCTTGATCTACTGAGCAAATAAAAGTACATCTGAGACCATTATTGTGCAGATTAAAACCCCAGTGCATGTAGTTGATTTTACCTTCGTCGTGGTCGTCATCGTTGGCCACTGAATCCGCCGTTTGTAGTCCTGCCTGAGTTTCTTTATTTATAGCCGGTGTGCCGTGGGGCTGTGCACGATTCCCAGGTCGAGTGAAAGCTACTGAACTGGCTTCAGTAGCATTCCCTGGGTCGCGTCCTCGGCGTAGATCTCCAGAAGCGCCGACACCTCCTCATCATTTTTTGATGCTTGCCATAACTGCTTTCAAAAACAAACTACTCTCCGTCGGTGTGTTGGGATTTTGTAGCGAGGAAAACAAAACATTTTCACAGTTGTACGGGGCGTGGTTTGCAATTCGCCCAGCCAATCAGCACTGGGGCACTTTTCACCCACAGGAAAGTACGATCTCTCAGCAGGCTCTAAAAATGGGGGTAAAAGTTCCCGAGATTAAGTACGATTTTTGGTGTGAACGCGACATAAGGGGTACTAACGGAACTAAACGCGAAAAGTACGGTGAAAAGTACTCCGGTGTGAACGCGGCTATGGTGTCCTTCTGTACCTTCTGTGGTATCATTAGATCTTCTTGTAGCTCCAGAGGGTAGGAGATGTTGAGCCGCCCTAAAGGAACCCTCACCTCCCCTAACACTGAGTGTCTGGAGAATTTATCAAAGTCCCTCACCTGAGATGCACAAGGACACAGGACAGTCAGTCATTTTACACAATCACATGTAAAAAAAATACATAGATTCTGCTTAGATGTTTTTTCTTCAACTGACTAAATACTAATTCCCTATAATTGGAGAGAAATTTAGAGGAAAGTGGTGTATCTATGTATTTCAGGACCTCCATCCTGAGGTTGATGTGATGAAGCTGCTTTTCTTCTAGCAGAGGACAGCTGAACTGGTCTCCAAATAAAGGGTTACAGCTGCCTTTCACAATGCGAGTCCGGCATTCCTGCAGCACTTTCCACAAGACGGGTGCAGTCCCTTCACCCTAAGAAGGTCACAGAAGTAATCTATTACTCTATGAGAATGTGAAGGACAGTGTTATATTTTTACAAAGTGGGCCTAATGAGCATAAAAGGAGAAAACAAAAGCTGTATGTTTCCCAAAATCAAGATTTGTAATTTCTACAATTAATTAACGAGGTAACAAGGAATGAGTCCTAAAACACAGAAATTAGTTAAAATTCTAACACTTCCGGTTCCCTCGTCTGGAAGTCCATTTGTTTTCCTTTACTGTGTTTGATGTTAGATACCTAAAATAAAGGCTGGAATCAACTCAAAATGAAGAGATTTTAACCTTTTGTTTCACCACATAAAATGTTTCAGTAAATACCCCACTGGTGAATATCCGAAGCTTTTATTTGTCATAAAAACAGTGGTAGCTAACAAGTGGCTAAATGAGACTACTCATCGTCACACGCCAAACATTAAGCGCCTTGAGCTTAGTGAATGGTGACATGAAGTCATGTGACCTTGATGTAGCCTAACGTTAGCTTTTCACTTCTGGCGATTGCATTTACGCTTAAAAAATCCTAAAAGCGGAGATGATCCTGCTGAACAAAATTTGTAAATAGCATAAACAGTTGTTTGACACAAAGCTTATTTTCTGCTACAATCTGGAATCCATTGAAACATATGAAGGTAGATATGGTGCAAAATGCGAGAGCGTGTAAAACCTGATGTGAGTACTTGCTTAAAAAAATCTGAGCTTGTGTGCATACATTTATACTTGTATAACATATCCATGTTTGAAGTCACAGAATAAAAAAAAAGTTTTGTAGCTTGTAGAAAAAAAATGAACTTAGTGATGAAATGTTCACTTCAAGGTTCAAGGTTCAAGGTTCTTTATTGTCAATCTGACATAGCTACAGAGTAATTATGCAGTTGAAAATCTTATGTCACAGGCTTCTCCAACAATGCAACATAATAACATAATAACAATAAGAGCATGAACAATACAAAAATAATAATAGTTATAAAAATGAAATAAAGTTATGATGTGGAATAGTGCAATAGAGTCTATATACAAGTTATTGGAATGATTTATATATATTAGGTATTAGATACATACTACTGAGTAGCAGATGAATGTTTGATGTTGTTTTAACAGTTCAATTTTTTAACAGTCTCACTGCCCGCGGGAAGAAACTGTCTCCGAATCTTCTTGTCCTTGCCAGGATGCTGCGGTAACGTCTGCCAGACGGCAACAGAAAGAACAGTTTGTGGCTGGGGTGACGGGGGGTCTTTGATAATCCGTAGTGATTTCTTCCTGAGCCGCTGGGAGTAAAGGTCCTCCATGGATGGCAGCTCCGTCCTGGTGATGTGCTGTGCAGTTTTCACCACCCTCTGTAAAGCCTTACGATCGAGGTCGGTGCAGCTGCCGTACCAGGCCGTCATGCTGCCAGTGAGGATACTCTCTATCGTGCACCTGTAGAAGTTGCAGAGTATCCTGGAATCCATTTTGAACCTCCTCAACCTGCGGAGGAAGAAGAGCCGCTGTCGAGCTTTCTTGGTGATGGTGGTGGTGTGAAGAGACCATGTCAGGTCCTCAGTGATGTGGACCCCAAGGAACCTGAAGCTTTTGACTCTCTCCACCGTAGTCCCATTGATGGCGATGGGGGCGTGTCCCTCTCCCTGCTGCTTCCTGTAGTCCACAATCAGCTCCTTTGTTTTGCTGATGTTGAGATGGAGGTTGTTATCCTGGCACCAAGATGTCAGGTTTTCGACCTCCTCTCTGTACGCCGTCTCGTCATCATCTGTGATCTGGCCGATGACGGTCGTGTCATCAGCAAACTTCACGATGGTGTTGGAGCTGTGTGTGGCCACGCAGTCGTGGGTGAACAGGGAGTAGAGGAGAGGGCTGAGCACGCAGCCTTGAGGGGCACCGGTGTTTAGAATCAGGGTGGAGGATGTGATGTTTCCCAACCGCACTGCCTGGGGTCTGCCCGTCAGGAAGTTCAGGATCCAGTCACAGAGGGCGCTGTTGAACCCGAGATCTCTGAGCTTGATGGCCAGCTTGGAGGGCACAATGGTATTGAATGCTGAACTGTAGTCAATGAACAGCATTCTCACATATGTGTTCCTGTTCTTCGGGTCCAGGTGTGAGAGGGCAGTGTGGAGGGTGAGGGCTATGGCGTCGTCTGTGGACCTGTTTGCTCTGTAGGCAAACTGCAGGGGGTCCAGAGATTCAGGGAGGGAGGAGGTGATGAATAATTTGACTAACCGCTCAAAGCACTTCATTATGATGGAGGTGAGTGCTACTGGGCGGTAGTCGTTGGGGCAGGTGATTGTTGTCTTTTTGGGGACAGGAATGATGGTGGAGTGTTTAAAACATGTGGGGACTACAGACTGCAGCAGGGACCTGTTGAAGATGTCTGTGAACACCTCTGCCAGCTGAACTGCACACACCCTGAGAACACGGCCAGGGATGCCATCAGGTCCAGGAGCCTTGTGTGGGTTAACCCTTTTAAAGGATTTACACACATCTGCCCTATTTAAAACAAACGGGCAGTGTAGCTCCTGGTCCCTCTGTACCTCCACAGCCCGGCTGCTCTCAAAGCGTGCAAAAAAACTGTTTAGCTCATCTGGGAGAGATGCGCACGCAGACACTCCCGCAGCACCCCCCGCTGCTCCTTTGTAGTCAGTCATTGTCCTTAGTCCCGCCCACATATTCCTAGTGTTACAGCCTTTGAAGTCAGATTCCACCTTGTCTTTGTACTGTCTCTTTGCATTTTTAATTGCTCTCCGGAGATCATACCTAGACTTCCTGTACTCCTCCAAATCTCCCGCTGTGTGCGCGATAGTGCGCGCTTTCAGTTTGCCGCGCACCTCACCGTTTACCCAGGGCTTTTGATTTGGGAATGTCCGTACAGAAACCTTCGGTACCACGTCATCGATGCATTTCCCAATGTAGCAGATGACAGTGTCCGTGTGTGTGTTGATGTTATTGTCCTCAAACACACTCCAATCCGTGGATGCAAAGCAATCCTGCAGTGCCTCATCTGACTCCACGCTCCATCGTTGTACTGTTCTTGTAATCGGTCTGTCCCTTTTAAGTTTCTGCTTGTACGCAGGCAACAACAGTAATGAGATATGGTCTGATTTGCCGAAGGGAGGGCGAGGGAGAGCCTTATATCCATTCCGGAAAGGGGAATAAACATGGTCCAGTATGTTTCCCCCGCGCGTCGGGAAGTTGATGTGTTGGTAATATTTTGGCAAAACCTTCTTCATGTTGGCGGTGTTGAAATCTCCAGCCACAACGAACGCCGCATCTGGCCGCGAAGTCTCGGTTTTATCAATAATCCCAAACAGCTGATCGAGTGCCGTGTTGTTGTCGGCGAGTGGCTGCGGCGGGATATACACTGCTGTTATCACAACAGATGTGAATTCCCTCGGCAGATGGAAGGCCCGACATGAGATCATGAGGTGCTCTAGCTGTGCGGAACAGTCCGATGAAATAATCTTCACATCTGAGCACCAGTTGTTGTTAGTCATTACACACACACAGCCTCCCTTACTTTTCCCCGAGTTTGCAGTCCGGTCCTGACGAAAAATAGAGAATCCATTAGGGACAATGGCGGAGTCCGGGATAGCGGGGTTGAGCCAAGTCTCAGTGAGAATTAACACGTTACAGTTCTTAATGTCCCGTTGAAAAGCAATCCGGCTTCTGAGTTCATCTAGCTTATTTTCAATGGATTGAACATTAGCCAGAAGAATACTCGGAAGAGGGGGCCGATTCTCACGTTTCCTCAGTCTGACCAGCAGCCCGGCCCGGCATCCGCGCTTTGTCCTCTTCTTGCGTCTCTCAGGTAGAACAGCAACAGGTAGCCATGGTGAATCTCCATTGTTTGTCGGAGGGTTATTATTGTCCACGAAGTTTCGCAATTGGAGAAGTTCCTCTCTGCTATATTGTATGGCAGAGTAGGTGCGGTCGGCTAGCATGTTGCGAACCATGTTAAAAGTAAAACGGCAAAAGTAAAACAAATATGTACAAAATACGAAAATGGGCAAAGTTGGAGAGGAGCACATAGACGATGCGGCCATCTTCATCGGCGCATCACAGCTTGCAGAAAAATATATATTTTTTAAATATATTTTCCATTACAACTGCAACTTGGTTATTACAACCTCTCAAATCAGTCATTACAACTTCACGAATCTGCTCTGTGGCAGTATAAATCGACGAATCTGCGGCCTTGACTTTTGCTACACCTCTTGCGATGAATGTGTCGCAAAAGTAATTTTCACCTGTAGATGTGGGGGAAGGGAGGGGGGTTGGAGCGAAGGGGCGGAGCTATCACAACGACGAGGCTCGGGTCAGTCACACAGTCACAGCCATAGTCAGGTCGAACCGGATGACTGCGGGGCTAACGGTCCGTGTCTTCATGCTTATATCGGACTATTGTGACTCGCTCTGCGGTTAAAACAGACGGTGCATGAATGCGGTTTTGCGGTAAGTGAAATTCGAGTACTTATTTATGTGTTTATGATTTTAATCAGCTACGTAATGAATGTTAAGGCTTGGGTTTGCGTGTAAGCGAGTGGTAGCTACATCTGTGCTAACGATGCTAATCGTAGCCTGCAAGTTAAAACCATAGACTGTATATATGAAGGTTAAAACGAAAGTGTTAAGCGTTAAGTGCAGGGCTCTCGGCTAACTTCTTTCACCATCCTCCCGGAACCGTCCCGAAATACAATCTAAGCCGTCCCGAAATTAATGTGGACCGTCCCGAATTTAAAATATTAGTTTTTCTACATTATCATTAGTTAAAATCATTCAAAGTGACCTTTAACATAAATAAAACATCATACAAATCATTAGATGATAATTCATCAACCTTTTTAATTGAGTAAATCAGTCAAACACATAAACAAAGGCCAAATATATTTAAAAAAAACACACAAGCGAGAAAGTTACTCTAATATTGAATCCAATCAAGTTCTATCCAATTATCAAAAACATCCAACACTCTGTCCTGAAGACAGAAGACAGAACCCAGAGTAACCACTAACCAGGATGACAGTCTGTAACACAGTCAGGAGACCTTTACAAACTGCCCCGCCCCCTCGCACACAGACGGGGGAGAGAGCTCTCTCGTCTGGATTGGAAAGATCGAAAATAAGATCGAAAATACATCATAGACGCATTTTGTAGACTTATTGCATATTAGAAACGGAGTTGGCGAAACTAAAACTGCGATATAATGTTCATGTAGCAATAATACATGACATATATGTTTTAAATGTCTCCACTACCGATAAAAAGTCAGATAACGTCGGAGCTTAACGCTACCACTGTCTTTAATAATTCCGGCCCGGGGCCCGTTTAATACCGGGGCTCGGTACCCATCCCTACATGGGGAGAGACGCAGCATATTGCTAAGGACTAAATACGATGGAGAGTTCTCATCTCAGCCTTATTACCCATAGGGGATGAAGAGGAGTTAGTAAATAAAGAGGCCGGCGCTCCAGGGTTAGGTTCTGCTGTGCGTTTTCGTGATGTAACGTAAACAATTGCAGAATTCCTCCACGGGATGCCATTGTCATTGTACATCACTCAACGCGAAATACACACACTCAGTACATAGCTAGACCCAATAATTTGCGGGCCAGGAGTTTGCGGGCACAGCTGTGTGTGTGTGTGTGTGTGTGTGTGTGTGTGTGTGTGTGTGTGTATTTCGCGGTTTGCTAAATGTTTTGTGCGTGTGTGTTTATGTTGACAAGGAGGTTTAATAACTGTGTGCTACACAAAACGTGCAGTCAGTTTCATTTTCATCGCCGTTCGTACTGTAGTAGAGTTATCAGGGTATTTTTATTTTAACTCTCGTCCCAAATTCGTCCCAAGATTATTTTTTATCCTCCCCGACCCTATTTTTTTCGGCCCCGGGACGACGGGACGTCCTTAAGCTCGAGCCCTGGTTAAGTGGGATAATACTGTAGAACAAACGGCTTCTGTTTGAGGTTGGTAAAATAAGGTCATCCTTGTAACTTAGAGAGATATTTTATTATGTAGGTAGGAACTGTATGCATCGCTAAGATTAATTTAAATCCGCTATGCTCAAGTATGTAGACAAGCTAACGTCGAAGTAGTGTATGTGAAATCAACCTCACAATAAGATGTGTGTATATTACAATTATTAATGTCATATTTCAAGATGATTACTTGGATATTACAATATGGTTGGTTGAGCTGGAGTTCATTATTGAGCTTACACGTTAACGTCAGTCATCTGAAGAACGAACCCAAATCTTGTTGTTTTTATTAATTGTATTACCAAATTGGTATCAAATGAACAGTAAGCATTGGTAACACAACTTCCAAAGTTACAGTAAAATAAAAAGGACCCTGACTCGGGCAATACACAATCCAACATGTTCAACAGAAGATAATAAGTTATATTGTTTGTACACATGGTTCTTTACATATATATCTGTTTGTTTAAAGTGTCCAGGTGATGCAGACAGGATGGACCAGAGAGTGAGAGACAGCACTGGACTCAGCAGTGAACTTCAGCACAGGTACAAATACTCTTTTTTCATACTGTACAAAGAATCAAGAAAGATATTGGTTGAAATAAATGAAGTATTGACTTTAATACACTGATATACATTCCATTAAACAATACTAAATACTAGATCACCTACACATCAGTGAAGTTGAGGGGTTTTTCCATGCAAAGGGTTACATGTTAACAAGCAATATTACTTTGTCAGCTTTCTAATTTAAGGTATTGAAGGCAAAGCTATTAGTGAGAACTGCTACTATTTATCTCTCAATATTGTCTGTAAAAAACGTGGTAAAAGTTATTATTTCAGTGAGACAACAGAGCAAGCTTCTACAGTTGCACTAAGTTTTGATAACAGTTAAATATTATTTTGATAATACAATATATTTCAATGTTGATGAATGTCATACTGTTCATTCATAATCTGATTGTCTTTGTAGCTCACTGTTGAAATAAAATAAAACGTTACAATTACAAAATAATTATATCTACAGCCCCTAAACACAAACACACCTCTTTCATAAATAACACACTTGTTCTGCAATAATATGTTTTATGTTTCCTGTAATTTTTGTTAGGAAAGGACATGCCTGAAAGACACGACTCAGCATCTCCTCTTTCTCTGAGGGTCAAGAAAAACATCCAAGAGGAAAATTAAAAGCTGATGTTATGAGATTTTAAGACCAGTACAGGACATTCACTAAGAAACTACTTTTATTGTGAAAACAAAGTCAGCTGATCGAATGCACCTATTTCCACATCTACACTCCATCAGCTGATTATTTCTATTTGCCTCACTTCATGAGCTTCACAACACCTGTACCTTGTACTGCAGAGTTTGCAACGTCACAAATAAATGGGGCAAATCTTCAGTCAGATGTGAATGTGTAATCTAACATTTTCAGTAAGAATAATGGACAAAAGGAGTGCAAATACAAATACAATTTATTGAAATGTGAACCAAAAGTTCATCAAAAATGTTTTAAATAAAAAGCACATATGGACAGAAGGTGTAAACCTATTAAATGTATAAGTAAACACATTTAGTCAAATAAAGTGACAGACTAGGCCTGTGCAGTTGGTATCAGCTATGCCCAGCATGGGCTCCTCCATCAGGCCTGGTCCTCCTCGCTGAGGAAAGACCCCCAGTCCTCTCCGGCCAAACCAACAGACAGGACGTCCATCACACAGAGGTTTCTCCCTGAAGTCTCTGCAGCTCTCTGGACACCACGCTGTCTCAATCCGTCCACACTGAATATGAGAGGGGGAAAATGAAAATAATAAATGCTTTAGACAATAAGAAATATAAAAGTGAACCGTTGAGTTGCTCAGTTTTTTTTTAGATTGTCAATACTATTACTGTATAACTAATATCCCAGGTTAAGAGGCACCTTCAAATAAAGATTGGTCTTTAAATACATTTTGTCTTTTGAATTGTTTGTCTAAAGTCAAGGATCTAGAAGTGGTACTTCTAGTTTTAATGGTAGAGTCTGGTTATTATGCTGTTTGGAGGAGGCATCACAGGTAAGAGCACTAACTAGCTACCATCACATGTACCTTAGCTTGACTTAAATGTATTAAACGTATAATTAAGTGATGGCAAAATATAAATAACTAATGTCATGCAAACATATTAATATTTTCTTGATTCCAGTGTTGAATTTAGCACAATTGCATACAAACGTCAAGGGATTTTAAGATTCTGAAGTCTTCGTTCTAAATAGAAAATAGCATGGATAATTTACAAAGGCTTTAAAAACACATCAGGAGCCCAAGACAATTATAAAACTTGTCATTATTTCAGTACAGTTCAATTGGTTTTATTTTCATAAACGGTTATCAACCGTTAGTGCCAAAGCAGTAGGCTATAATATATGAATTACTGCTGTATAGACTACAGTACAACCACTACTTGTTTAACTAGCATAAATTCAACAAAGCTAGCATTAGCTGGCTAACTGACGTTATTTTGCCGCTAAACTGCACGATATAAAACGGTGGTCTTAGCGGATTTAATCCTCAATCACAATAATAATATTCAAAGTAATACTGGGGAAGTAATGGGCAAAACTTACCGTTGATTGACGCGCCATGTCAGCGGACTGGTAGCGACACGGACCGTTAGCCCCGCAGTCATCTGGTTCGACCTGACTGACTGTGACTGTGTGACTGACCCGAGCCTCGTCGTTGTGATAGCTCCACCCCTTCGCTCCAACCCCCCTCCCTCCCCCACATCTACAGGTGAAAATTACTTTTGCGACACATTCATCGCAAGAAGTGTAGCAAAAGTCAAGGCCGCAGATTTGTCGATTTATACTGCCACAGAGCAGATTCGTGAAGTTGTAATGACTGATTTGAGAGGTTGTAATAACAAGTTGCAGTTGTAATGGAAAATATATTTAAAAAATATATATTTTTCTGCAAGTGAACATTTCATCACTAAGTTCATTTTTTTTCTACAAGCTACAAAACTTTTTTTTTTATTCTGTGACTTCAAATTTGGTTCACAGATACATGGATATTTTATACAAGTGTAAATGTATGCACACAAGCTCAGATTTTTTTCTGCAAGTACTCACATCAGGTTTTACACGCTCTCGCATTTTGCACCATATCTACCTTCATAGAAACAATCCCATTCATTGTCAAGGGAGCCTTTAAGAAGCTAACTTCCGGGCCTACAAAAATACATCATCACTGCACCAGTGACATATTGTATGTGATAAGGAAGACAACAATTACCTCTTCGTCTGTACATTCTTCAACTTCCACTTCTTCTGAGTTTGACCACATGAGTCTTAGTTTAACAAATGGCTGGAGGGTTCGCGTCGGGCTTTGCTCCAGAAGCCCCTCCACCTGCAAGACGGTGACCACCAGCTGGGACTGCAGTTGGTCATAATAGATGGAAAAGCGCAGCGTTCCTTCGACCTAGTACAAGAGGGTTTGTTAGAAAAGACACCATTAACTAAATTATGCTGTTAATGTTTAAAAAGGATATTTTTGAAATACAAATGTTTGTCTGCCAGTTGGTCCACACTTCTTGCAGTGGAATTCTTTACTAATATTCAAGAATGACTTACCCTTAAGATTCAAACTATTCGACCAAATAATAATACAAAACTAATGACATTTTCATCAGCAACAGGTTTACTTTGTTCCGTTTGTAAAGCATGCTAAACTGAGATGGTTAACATGGGTAATATGTTAAACCTGCTAAAAGTATTAGCATATTAGCTTTACCATTGTTAGCATAACACTGCTGAAAACCCATTTCTTCTCTCTGGCGTTCAGCCCCAGCTAGGCAAGTTATCTTGGTTTTACTTATTTATGCTGTAACGTTATTGTTGCTTTTATTGTATTTAGTTTCTTTTGATCTATTTTTACCTGTGTACAATTATGTCTTTATTCTTTAATGAATTGCTGATTGTCTTATTTTCAATTTGGAAAGCACTTTGGTCAACCGAGGTTGTTTTAAATAAACTTGACTTGACTTAATACAATTTTGTTCAAAATCCGTGCTTTTCCAAAGCGAAAAAACACATCTCTATTTATGAGACATGATAGTCTGATGAAGATGGATGTTATACATACAGATTTAAAAACTACATAAGGCTAAGTTGCGGTACAATGAGAAGGAGATAAAACTAACAAATCTTTATGCACATTTCCTGTAGGATGCAAAATAAGCCGTCATGCATATAGCAATTTTTGTATGTAATATTGTTTTGTTTTTTGGTGTCATTCAAGTAAAAAAGTCATACAATAAGGCATGTTTCTTTGTTTTGGTTAACTTAAATTAGTTTGTACATTAAGCAAAGTAAATGTATTGACAAACCAAGTAAATAAATAAAAGTTAAAAAAACAAAGGATGCACATACATTCAATGTATGTGCATCCTTTGTTTTTTTACCTCGAGTAAAATCAAATTGTGAGAGAGCGTTGAACGTTTTTGAAGGTAAGGACATTAGATGAAGAGATTAAACAGGATTTGGAAATTGTAGATTGATTGTCACGTGACAACAGGATTATAGAGTAGTGCTACCTTTTTATTGTTGGCCTGCTCTTCCATCTCTCCGTCTGCCTGTACAGATCCTGAGGAAGGTAATGAGGCCTGAGACAGACAGCGACTCAGCCTGCGGACCTCTGTGTTGACATTCTCCACCTGGGGCGACACAAAGTCATGTAAACACACACACATTTCTATCTGTGGTGTTTGTTATTCACCACAGCGCCTTCAGCGTTTATTTGACTTGACAAGTACCAACATCGTCTTTGTTCAAACAAGTAAAATGTAATCTTTATGTACACTGACAATGGGACCTATTTTGAGCATCTCCACAAAATGTAGGAACAGGAACACCTACACACATAGTGCAATATGTGTGAGATTAAAAGAGGTGTTCATGGTGATGATTGATCAATAAAGTCCAATCTTCATCTTGTCTAAACAAAGTAAAAACTACACATTTTCTTTGCAAACAGCAGTCAGATGACAGAAAGGAAACAGTAGACTACTTCAATAAAATGTGACCAAGCTCACATAAACAGAGAAATCTCATCTGCACATACATGTCGGGATAGAATCCACAAAAGATGTCCTTCGGGCTAGGCAAGAGCTGACTGACCATTTGTATATGTACCAGTATTATTTCAAAATGCATTGGTACATATTGTTTGAAGTCCTGTTTTACTTATTCCTAAAACCTTTCGTTGAAAATATCTAGAATTTACAGTATTTCTGTGAGTTTTCGTTGTTTTGCCTGATCTTCTTGTTTTTGTGTTAAATTATTTTTTTGTCAGTAGCTTTAACAGTTTTTACACTGTGTTTCCTGAGTATTGACTGAAAGGCAGCAGCTATGTAAAAAGGTCGCCAACAGCTGCTCTGATCCATCTTGCCCAGTTAAGGCCAACCTTCGACATCTAAAAAATCTGGTCATGGCTAATATTGTACTGTACAGAAGCTGCTTTGAAGTGTGGGCATTCTGATACAGGCATGATTTATATATCCTGAGACCCAGCCACTGGGGCCTGTATTTAAAAAACTATGCATTCAGTCTATTTGAGTCCTAATCTACTGTGAAAAACACATCACAGGCTTTTTAGTGACAAACATAGCACATCACGTCTTTTCAAAATGGAATAGAAGCAAGTGATCAAAGGCTATATTTGATTTCTGTTCAAAGGATGTTTTTTTAATTATTAACAAGACTCTTAAATGTTTATTTAGAAGTGTATGTTCACTTAAACCACATGTGTCAATCCTAATTGACTTTAATAGGTATTATAAATTAAACTGTCTTAAAAAGAAATATTGACCCAATGTCCAATGCCAGTGACAATATAGAAAATAAATAATTATTTAATTGATGCATATCATATCATTTTTGTTTTCAATTGTGATGTTTCTCACATCTCAATTACTTATAATACGTTTTTAAAGTATTAATGAAAAAATTATTAAAAGTAGTATTAAAAAGTCTAATGCCAGTGACATGTATATTTGTGTGATGTGCTTCCTTAATACCAATTACCTTTACTAGCATTAAAAGTAGGTAAAAAAAGGCCATAGGAAGACTTGTGAGATATTAAGTATAAGCAATATGGTCATAAGAAAAGGTGTGGATTATATTCTACTCTATCCACACCTACAATCCATTTCCTCTTACCCTGGTGCTTGGAGCTCCTGAGTAGATTCTCGCTGTCCCCGACTTTTCATCCGAGTACAGCTGATCATTGTTCACTACAGTAAAAATCAGACACACAATTGCAATTTGTATTCCTTTCTTGGTACACAGCATTATAAATGTGTGCTTTGTATTGTAATCCTATCTACTCACCGGTATCTTGCCGCGTGTATGTGGTGTATTTCTGTGAGCAGCACCTGAAGACCTGCCATGCCAAGATACCCAGCGCCAGCAGTAAAAGAGTGACTGAAATTCCCAGGATGCAGTACTTGTCTGGGAATGGCATTGTCAGGTTCCCAGCAGCAAACTGCATTTGTAACAGTTGGATTATCGCTTGAGGTAAAGAAAACCGGTACACCTGTGGCGTAGTCAGAAATATTAAATGATCTCCTATCAGAAGTGGTTTAGTCAAATCGCATTTGTCAAACTCACACTGCATGCAAAGCAAGATGAACATTGCAGGGGAAACCTACAGTTAGAAGTAGTATTTATATTTAAACAAAGAAAGTTGACGTAACACATTTAAACAATTCAGGTTTGGCAAAATGCTGCCCTACAGAGTTTTAAAAATGAATAAAAAGATAAATGGGGAAGACTAAAGGCAGCATTTCTGTTGCTGCTTACCTGAGACCAACACACAATTAAATAAAAAAGACACAAAGCATTTACCTATGGTTAGAAGGAATAATCAGCTAATGTTTCTCTTCAGCGATGAAGGTATTTCACTGTGCTGTCCACTCTTCTAGTTTCACAGAAACAAAGTCAGCAAGAGGAATTCAAAGCAGCACCTTATCATATAACTGTTCCTCCTGTTTGTGTCACACTCCTCTTACTATCCACACACACCGAGCACATGACTTCCTGCACACCATTCTGGGCAAACTGGTTTTCATAAGATTTAAATAACATTTCAGGGAGCTTAACAAGGCCTGACCTTAAGGTGTCTTCCTCTTTAAGATCCCTCGGCAGGCCTGCTTACAAAGTGTCTACCAGGATAAAAAAGAACTAGTTGATTTAGTCCTAACATCACTTCATAAATCAAAACATTTATGTTCATTAAAACAGTACGTTTTTCTCATGTTTTTAGGAATATCCTTTCGAAAAAAGATATTAATGAAACTGAAAAGTTTGCTGGATGTAAGTGCTACTGAATCAAGTTATGTCCAAAATGGTGTACAGTAGAAGTACTAAGTTGCATACAATTACTCAGTTTAAGTAGTACTTAAGTACAATATTTAAGTAAATACACTCCATTACACTCAACCACTGACAACATCTATTAACCTGTTAAGCCCTGAGCCTGTTTTTCAGGTCTCAGGCTCGAAAATGATATTCCCAGGACAAATGACCATATCTTCCCTTCTAAAAGGGTTAAATTAATAATCTTTTTTCTCAAAGTATTGATAAACCTGTGAGTTGGATGTAGAAAAGTCAGAATCAATATAGATGTTTTTTATTTTTAAAGAAAATTCAGATTTTACATAGTAAAAAACTGTAAATGATAGTGTCCATCCAAAGATTATGTTGGACTTATAGTGAAAACTACCCTTGGATGATGGTAAGGTAGACTAAAAGCTTTAGGAATCCAAAGTACAACATATAATAAGTACCCTGTATCAAGATTGATGCAAAACAAGTGACATTTGACCTTTTTAGAGAGATTTAGCAAAAAGAAACCACTTCTGGGGTCATTTGGGTGGATTTTCCATATCTCTGGCTTCCCTTGCTCGATTTTGATGGTTGACACCTCTTTCTGACGTTAGAGCCAATAGAATCGAAGGGGGAGTCCCCCACACACACTCATTGTGAAACGAAAAGGTGGGGGCTTCGCGCATGTAATTTTGAGTGAACCTATCTCTAGCTTTGACATCTGGAAACGGAAAAGCAGTTTTAATGCTTATGGATTATCAGAAATCATTTCAAAGGGACACAGACACATTGGATTAACCTATGGATTAACTTCAGCAGCGTTTTTATCATTTTAATGCCATTGAAGACCACTTTGGAGAGACTACAGAGCCAAGGTAAAAATGTTAGCATTTTTAGCTACCTAGCGTCACCTGTTTTGATGTCCGTTTTTGCTTATAACGTCGCAAATTCGTATAATTCAGTGATAATGTGGGTACCCATCGATTCTGTGTCACCTCACGATGTGAAACGATGTCATGGATGTAGAGAAGAGATAAATAATAAGGTTTTGTGAGTGATTTTCGGTGCAGTAAGGTGTTAGCATTTTTCGCTCATTGCTAATTCAGAGGCTCAGTGTTAGCATTGTGGGTTTTCTTTTGAAAAATAAATAAAAATGATCAGTTAGATGAGTTTCTTCCCGTTACATGGATATAAAACATTCATAGTTTATTAAATCAACATGCCCTCAGACACTGTTTCCTGCAAGCTGTTGCGGCAGTGCCCCGGTATGCAAAAATAAAATCATAATCTTTTTTTTCAAATTAGTAATAATTATTTAAAGGGGACCTATCATGCAAAATGCACTTTTGTACATCTTTTATACATGAATATGTGTCCCCGGTGTTCCAGGGAACTCACCAAGTGTCAGAAAACACAACCCTCTCTATTTTCCTCCATACCCAAATCTCTAAAAAAGGGGCTGCAACGGATCTGATAAAAACTGATCCAGATTTGAACACTGTCCTGACGTCAGGACGGTGGCGCTACGGCTATTGGGCCAACTCTCCACCTATCAGGGGAATGTGGGGTTGGGCCACGGCCGGCCATTGCCGCTCGAAAGCGCTGGAGACGCTGTAGTACATATGTGACCTGCTCCATCGAAATCAGTCGCATTGACCCAAAGACACATTTTGAGTTGTATACACTGTTGGAAAGAGGAGATTCCTAGCTTTCTAATGATATCAGGATTGTATTTGTACTCCAAATATTAAGCAAAATACGTCACATTATATAATGACTGTCACCGAGTCATCATGTTGAGAAAAAGGCCTTCAAAGTTTCCTCTTCTCTGGAATCCATCGATCTGATTGATTATTAGCGGAGCAAATGATCAAAATACTACGGAGGGAAGATATTTTCGTTTGGATTGCTGCTCTGGGGGAAGCTCGCGAGTGTGTGTGTGTATACGTGTGTGTGTGTTTGTGTAATTTTGCGTTTCTGTGTATTGTTTGATTCCCGGGGAAAACACTCAGGAGAAACACCGGCTGTTGTTATGCCTGCTGTGACTTTAAGTTACTCCGTTCTCCGCTTGTAACTATGCCGTTACAAGCTTCAAAGTTGTATTTATCATCTGAATTTGCCGAAACAAGTTTAATATTCTGAAAGCCAAGACCTTGTTTAATTGAAATCAGATGAAAACAAACTGTAACGGACCCTGCCGTGTTATCTATGATTACTATACGCCTTACATTCATAATGTCAGCCGGAGGGAGGGGAAGCTGCGCTACGGAACAGCAGAGTGGCGAAGGAGAGCTGTCATCTTCCCTTTACAAGCTTCAAAAATGTATTTGTCGTGTGATTTTGGAAATAAAAGTTTCATATTCTGAAAGCCAAGACTTTGTTTATTTAAAATCAAACAAAACACCCGAACCCCGAAAAACTATTTTTTTATGCAAATCCTGGTTTATTTTTAAATGAGCCGTTGCGACTTCCGACTGATTTCGATAGAGCGGGTCACATATGCCAGGCCTGTAAGTGGCGCTGTAGTCTGCCACAAAAGCAGCGAAGAAGACTTCCCGCGCATGGTTACCATGGTTACCCTTCTGTTTATTCTCCGCTGTGGCTTTTTTTCTCCCTCCCAGAGGCAAGTGTTTGCTCCCGCTGCTTTAATTCAATGCAATCCCTCCCCGTCGAGGCAAGCACTGTAATTATCTCCGGTTAGTCCACCAGCAGATGACAAACACCCACCTCTCCGCCTCTTCCAAGGAACGAGGGGACCGTGCGGCAGAGTTTCAGTTAGGTTTTCTTTCGCCGGTCAAGTTTAAATCTTCCGGACAAAATTAGATAAGTGCCGGTCAAAGGTCTTCTTTGCTATTTATTGAGCTTTAAAACAAATGAATAACGACTCTATATAATAATAGGCTATAATAAAACACGGAGGACGGAGATCGATTTTTCTCCCCCTCATCTGACTTCATCTTGCAGGGGGGCGTGGTCCGCTGCAGCTCACAGAATCAGCCCCCTGCAAAAACAGGGCTGGAGAACAGCAAATAGAGCGAAATGAGGCATGGCTAAAATGCATGATCTGTTTGGTATTTTGAAAACAGAAACGTATAAATATACCTTATATAGGTATGGCCCTACAATATATCATTTAAATATAGTATGATAGGTCCACTTTAAGGTCAGATCTTAGGTTATATTCAATTATGTTCTATTTCGTAGTTGCCGGTTTAACGTTGGCTCTACTTTATAATCCACCGAGCTGGCATCCTGGTTAAAGAACTCCCAGTACCTACTACCACCTCATTTGAGTGTGTTGTCTTCAAACTGGCTGGGTCTGCTCCGCTCCAGGTTGCCCTCATTTACCGCCCACCTAAAGCTTCCACTACCTTCCTGTCTGAGCTGTCTGAGTTAATCACCTCTCTCTGCTCCATGTCTCCATCAACTCTCCTGCTCGGTGATTTTAACATTCACGTGGACTCCAGTAACTGCACATTCGCTGCTGAATTCCTCTCACTTTTGGACTGCTTCAGCATCAAGCAACATGTCCAGGGCCCCACCCACATCAAAGGCCACACGCTGGATCTGGTGTGCTCTACCGGCTCTCCGCTCCCCGACCTACAGCGCCTCGACCTGGCTGTATCTGACCATCACGCCATCCTCTTCACTGTTCCTGTCTCCCTGCCCAGGCAGCATCCTAAACGCACCATTATGTTTAGGAACATTAAGACTGTGAGTGCACCGGCCCTATCCGACCTGATAGCTACCCACATGGCCTCGGGTCCCTCCGAATCCACCGTGGACGGCCTGGTAGCCCACTACAACACTGCCCTATCCCTCAGTCTCAACTCTCTCGCCCCCATTAAAACCCGGACTGTTTCCTTCACCTGCCCTGCCCCCTGGTTCACCACCGAACTCCGCCGTTTGAAGGCCTCTGGTCGCCAACTGGAGAGGCTCTCCAAAAATACTGGCCTCATGGTCCACCTCCTGGCCTTTCGTGACCATGTCAAAACGTATAAGGAAGCTCTCTCCCACGCCAAGACTCACTACTACTCCCGTCTCATCGGTGCCCAGCAAAGCAACCCCAGAACACTGTTCTCCACCATCAACCGCCTACTCCGCCCCCCCTGACGCCCCCCAGCCCTCCCGATCTGTGCTCCAAATTCCTCGACTTCTTCCAGGCGAAAGTCGAGGCCATCCATCAGCAGCTCCTGGCGACTGGCCCTCCCCCCCTACCTGCACCTCAGCCACCTGGTAACGCAGCCCAAGCGCCGCGCCTCTCCCACTCCAACCTCTCCTCCTTCTCCCCTGTGGATGCTCTCCAAGTGGCCAAACTGGTCAGCTCGGCCAAGACCTCCACCTCAAAAAACCTGGCCTGGACCCCGACGACCTCCAGAACCACCGGCCGATCTCCAACCTTCCCTTCCTAAGCAAAACTCTGGAAAGAGTGGTCATCGGCCAACTCCATCTGTTGGTCGCCTCAGCATCCTCATCCTCCTGGACCTCTCTGCAGCGTTCGACACAATCTCTCACAACATCCTCCTCATCCGCCTCTCAGACCTCCTAGGTGTCACTGGCACAGCGCTGTCCTGGTTCACATCCTACCTCCATAACAGGAAACAGTTTTCTCCATCAGTGGCTCAAACTCACCCCCGGCCCCAG